GTTTTTTCATTGTCATTATATCTTAAACAATGTAGTAAAGTATCTTGTCCCCAACACTATGCACTAATTGTGTGCATAAGTCACCTAGAGATTATTTAAAGTATATAGTTTTTATGTCAACACTGCATCATTTGATACAGGGGATCTGAGCACCCACAGATTATGTGATCTTAGGAGGGCTCAGGACCCAGTCCCCCCACAGTACTAAGGGGTACCCACCCTTGCTTGTACTTTGCTGTTTGTACTAACACAGTGACCTGGAAAGAGCTTGCCCCATCCAGACCAGTGACGCTGTTTTTGTCTGGTTGTTTGTGGTGTTGAGATTTTACCAGTACTTGTGCTCACGTGCATGTGCATTCTCTGCTCATGCAGGGGTTTCCCAGGCGATTCTGAGGAGTGGCTAGCTGGATGAATGGCAAGTGTTCTTACAGGGCCAGGGGCATCAGCAGACTTCCCTTCCGTGGGAACACTGGTGCTAGTGGGCATCCCACTCCCAGTAAGCACCTGCCCTGCCCTATGGGGCAATGTACCAGCAAGGTTGGGTTTTTTTGGGTTTGTTTTTTTTTTTTGGTGGTACCAGGGATCAAACTCAGGACCTTACACTCACCAAGCAAGCACTTATTCCACTGAGCTATCTTCCCCAGCCCCGACAGCAAGGTTTTAATTCTTACCAGTTTAATAGATAAAAAATTTGATTTTGGTTTGTTTTTTCCTATTATGAAAGAACTTAAACATCCTTTTTTTTTAAACCAGGGATCAAGCTCAGGACCTTGCAGTTGGCAGACAGGCACTTACACTTTTGAGCTATCTTCCTGGCACTAAACATACTTCCAAGTGGCCAGGACTTACTCACTTACTTAATTGCTTTCTGGCTTTCTGACACTCACCCTATTGGATATGAAGTAATTGATTTTCATAGTTTTTAAATAATCATGTACATTTAGTTGTGTATCTCTTTAGCTTCCTTCTGAGTATGACAGATTTTTTAGACTTTTCCTGTCTGTAATAACCTGAGTGACTTCCAGTTGCACTGGTCAGCTGTGTCCCTTAGGATGTCCCTTAACTAGGATTGTCTGCTGTTTCTCTGGTAGCCTGACTGGAGTCATGGGATCTGGGAGGAAATCAGAGGCAAAGAGCCCTTTCTGTCACACCACACCACGTGCATCAGCCCAGCACGAGCTCCAGGGGGCAACACGGCCTCGACCCCCTGGCTGAGGCTATCCCCTTCCGGGTTCTCCATGACAGGGGGACGGTGTTGCTCCTCTTTCCTTTGCCTGCTTTTCTCTTTGGAAGGAGATTGTTAAGCAGAGCTCACACCTAAGGGATGGGGAGTTACTCACCTAGATGTGAATCTTGTCCTTACATTAGGTAGTGATTTCTTAGGAAGGATATTAAAAATAAAAGCATCAAAAGAAAAAGTGGGTAATTTGTACAGTCACTGAAATTAGAAACTTGGGCTTCAGAGGATACCACTGAAAAAAAGAAAGGACTGAGGAAGCTGCCTGGTGGGCACAAGGTCCTGAGTTCAATTCCTGGTACTAAGAAAAAGGACAAGCTGAATGTGGTGGTGCTTGCCTGTAGTCCAGGTACTTAGGAGGGCAGGGCAGGAGATAATGCGTTTGTGGCCAGCCTGGGCCAGTTGGCCAGACGCTGTCTCAAGGTAGAAAACAGGCTGTGTCCCGTGGGAGTATCCCTCCCTCATGGCCGTGAACCCCAGAAAAAGAGGGGAAGAGGAAAGAGCTATAATGAAATACCACAGCTTACAGGACACCAATTTAATTTTCATAGTTTGGTGCCTATGCGGACCAAGACCACGGTGGCAGCACTGCTGGCTTTTCCTGTGGCCACTCTGGCTTGCAGAGGCTGCTTGCCCTCACGTGGGCTTTCCCAGGTGCCTGGTACCTCTTGTCACAAGAGCACTGGGCTGTTGAATTAAGTGAGGCTCCACCCTAATTATCTCCTCAAAGGTCCTGTCTCAAAATACAGTCACACTGGTGTTGGGCTGCACTATAAAGTGCAGATATGGAAGACCTCACAAAATGAGCATGTTGGTTTTTTTGTTTGTTTGTTTTTTGCAGTACCGGGATTGAACTCGGGACCCTGCGCTCACCAGGCAAGCGCTTACTCTACCGAGCCATCTCCCCAGGCCAAAATGAGCACACTGATTGATAATTACTAAGACGTTGAGGAATGCTGCCAGATTGGGAAAGGGGTTTTGCTCTCTTGGGAGTTCCTTGGTCGGCCACAGCTGCCTCCTCCAGAGGTGGTCTCTAATCTTAGGGTATTGTTTCTGAGACCATCGCGCAGGTCTTGGACGCGGAGGTCTTGGACACTGACCTAGTCGTCCTCTTTAGAACGTGGTAACATTTGTTTCTTTTCCACATTTAGCCTTTGATGCAATCTTAGGGTAGTTGTCTCTCTATGTTTCTATATACAGAGAACTAGCCAGATGATACTATGATTTTTGCTTACAATCATTAAGCAATTAGAAAGAGAATTGTCCAGCTGGGCATGGTAGTGTGTGCCTGTAGGCCTATAGTCCCAGCTCTTTGGGAGGCTGAGGCAGGAGGATCACTTGAGCTCAGGAGTTGTAAGCCAGCCTAGACAATATAGTAAACCTGTGTTAAGAAGTAAAGCCAAGCAAACAAAATAAAATGGAAAATGTAGTACATCTCTGTAATTCCTGCTACCATGGAGGCTGAGGCAGGAGCACAAGTTCAAGGCCAGCTTGGCCAACTTAGTGAAACCCTATCTCAAAATTAAAGAGCTGGGAAAGTAGCTCAGTGATTATACCACTTGCCTAGCATGTGTGAGGTCCTGGATTTAATCTTAGTACTGCCAAAGGCGGGGAGGGGGAGGAATGATCACTCAGAATTGCCCAGCTGTGTTCTCCTTTGCTCTTCTCCCTTCCTCATCGTCAAGGTTTCTTTTCTGTCCACAGGACTCCCAACAGGGCTCATCTTTTGATTGGAAGGGAGGAGTTGTACATATTTAGGGTGGGAAGAGTTTTCATTTCTTACATCTCAGACTTTCTTCTTGAAAGTGTCCTTTGGCTGTGTGGGGTTCTGGGGCTGCGGCGCTCCCCTGTCAGCACTGAACAGTGTCTTCCCTGGCTCACCCTAGCCATGAGTGGCTCCCGCCGAGTGGCCCTTTGCTGTTGGTGATGTACTTCCTGCCTGAGCTTGCAGTTGGCCTTGCCATTACCTCGCAGTAGTTAGGCTGTCTTGATGTAGCCCTCTGCGTTTCCCCCTCGTGTGTCCTTGTAGCCTTTAGAATTCCCAGTTCTTCTGTCAGGTTTGGAGAGTTCTTGGCATCATTTCTTAAGACGCTTCTTCAGCCCTATACTGTTTCTCATTTTCCTATAGGGATCCAACATGTGCACTCAGTTTCTCTACTCATTCTGCTTTTCAGTTGGATTATTTTACACATACGTCCCTTCCACAGGGCCAGGGAGATGGCTCAGCAGTCTAAGCGCCTGCCTGCCAAGGTTCAGTCACCGGTAACACATTTCATGCCGGCCCTACACTGAGCCGGCCACCAAAATCAGGCATGGTGGCACACACCTGTAATCCCAGTGCTGGGGAGGCTGAGACAGGAGGATCACTATGAGTCTGAGCTGCATAGTGAGACCCTGTGCCAAATAAATAAATGATTAAAAGAAAATTTAAAAAATCACACAAATACACCTGGGAGATGAGCTCAGGGCATTGTGTGTGCTAGGCAAGTGCTGTACCACTGAGCTACACTCCCGTCCCTGTAGAATTTTTATTTTGGGGTAGGATTTTATGAAGTTACCCAAGCTGGCCCCAACTTGATCTCCAAGCGAGTGGGATTCTTGATACACATCACTGCACCTGATTCATAAATCCGTGGTTTTTGCTTTGTTTTTGTGGTGCTGGAGTTGAGGCCGGGGCCGTTGTCCAAGCTGCCTCTCCAAGCCTTTTTATTTTTGTGGCAGGGTCTTGCTGAGTCACTGCGTTGCCTAGGGTGGGCTTGAGGTTGTGATCCTCCTGCCTCAGTCTCCCAGAGTGCTGGGATTACAAGTGTGCTTATAGGCTTCTGCATATCCGTCTCTTAAATTTGTGGTGGTCGGGGAGATGGCTCAGTGGAATAAGCACTTCCCTGGCAAGCACAAGGGCCTGAGTTCAATCCCCGGTTCTGCCAAAAATAAATAAATAAATAAATAAACATTTTTTTAAAAAAAATAAATTTGTGGTGGTTTCCTGCCATTGCATTCTGTTGTTGAACCTACCCACTAAATTTTAAATTTTGGCCATGTGTCTCTCATTATACAGGTCCACTTTGTTGCTCTCTGTATATTTGTTTGTTGCGGGCTTCTACTTCTAATTTGTTTGAAGAGAGTTTGTGATTACTTCTTGGGGCGTTTTTATGATTGGTGTTTCTGACACCCTTGTCAGGGTCTAACACGTGTATTGTCTTGCTCTTGTGTATTATCCTCTCTTGCCATCTCCCTTTTGAGCTGAGATTTACCTGTAGGTTTGTTTTGTAACAAATAACTTTGTTTCTGAACATTTTGAATTTTGTTAGAAGCCTCTAGCTCTTACCTATTTTAGTTGGCAGGGTATCTGTATAGAGGCAGAGTGCATGTCCCAGCCCACATGGTCAGCTTAACCTTCAGAACCTCTTTGAGCTATTCTCATTGGTACACCTACCTGTGTGCCCCCAGAGACCAGCTGCGCGTCTGGACAGCACCCCCCAGAGGAGTGCAGTCCTCAGAGCTTCCACAGCTCGGGGGAGGAGGAACCCAGGGCTCCTGGGCAGATTCAGAGCCTGCCTGGTTAGGTGGGTGGTGCACACACCTGTGATCCCAACACTCTGGAAGTTGAGTCTAGACTACTGCAAGTTTGAGCCTATCCTGAATAACTCACTGACTTAGCTAGACCTTGTCTTGAAAGGAAAAAGAAAACAATCCTGTTCTTGGGGACCTGGCTGGTAGAGGTGGGTGAGGCCGAGATGTGCATGTGTGCTCTCTTGCCCAGGACTGAACATGCAGCTGGAGGACCTCGCAAAGCTCAAGTGTGAGTGCCGCTCCCCATCACCGCGCCTGCCCCCGGTGCACGCTCCTGACGCCTCCTTGACCCACAGTGATCCTTCTTCGCCTGGAGGGTGCCATTGATGCTGTCCAGCTGCCTGGAGATGGCACTGGTGTCACCAGGCCAGGAAGGTGAGGAACAAGGCCAATAGATGCCTTGACCCAGGCTCCACCTAGGGCTTGTCTTTGTCCTCACAGTCCTGGGGCTTCACATATCAGTGGGGTCTATTCTTAATTCCAGACCCAGGAGGGGCAGTCAGCTCTCTGTGGTCGGTGAGGTTAGAATGAGACTTCTCATCAGCAGTCAGTGCTGTTACACCTGGTTAGGACTCCCGGAGGCCCTGAGTGTCCTGAATGTGCTGTCGTTGCCCAGTTTTTCAGCAGTCTGAACCAACAAAGGCTGCTGTCTTCAAGGCAGATGAGCTGTCGCTGTGACAGCTCTCCTGGGCACACAGCTAACTCCTGTGCTGTGATCAGGCCTGCTTTTGTTGCAGACAGAAGGTAGAATGTGTGCTAGGGGCCCTGGGATGCCTGTCTTCTCCCTGTGCTGTGCTGTTCTGAACTCTGACCCTTTCAGGGCTTGTAGTTCTTACAGATTAAGCCTTGTTCCTTAGCTTGACATTCAGGGCTCCAGCCTGGCTCCTCCAGCCTTCCCTGGCCTGTGTTAAACCTCAAGGGCACCCTACAGGCCCCCACTGGTCTCTTTCCAAAGTGTTTGAAAGACCCACTCAGATATACGACCTCAGAAAGCTCTGAGGACCCTGCTTGCATCCCGTGTTGGCCCCGGACCAAGTGCCTTGGCCTTCTCTTTGGCATGTGGCTGTTGTGCCAAGGGCCTCTTAGCGCCACACCTGGGGTCCTGAGGCACAGGCCCTTCGCCTTGCTTTTGTTGATCCTGAAGGGCTCAGCATTTGTTTCTGAGTGCAGGAAGCTGCTCGCTTATAGATGGCCACAGCTGTAGGCCTGGTCCCTGGTCAGGCTCAGGCTTCTTCTTTTTTCTCTTTCAGCTTTATCTTCAACCTGTTTGCCGAAGCCCAGATAACATTTCAATCCCAGGCCTGCATCCTGGAGTCATTGGACCAGATCATCCAGCACTTGGCAGGGCGTGAGTCTGGCTTACCATGTGGGGCTTGTTGGGTAGGCCTCTTTGACGCAGGCAGGAGCCAGACAGGACTACCTTTAGCTGCAGCCAGCACAGTTGTGTGGTAGCCTACTCTCTCTTTTTTTTCCCCTTGGTACTGGGGATTGAATTCTGGACTTTGCATTTCCAGGCAGGTGCTTATGCCACTGAGCTGTCTCCCCGGCTGCCTCCTACCTTGTCTGCTCTTTACCCTACGAGCAGGAGTCTGGCCTGTAGGGTTCTTTTTGACTGGGATATCAAAGCATTTTACCATTAGACTGTCCTTTGTGCTCTTTTCTGGAGAGTGTCCCAGTTTCGCTGTTGGCATCTTTCTGTTGTGTGTCTTAGTTAGCTCCCCTTTGAGGAAGAAAAGCAAGGGGCCTGGGTGGGTTCGTTGAGGTGTGGTTCCTACCAGCTTCCCCCTCACCCACCTGAGCCCTGCTCCTGCTCAGCGGCAGGCCCAGAAGGCTTCCCTAGATGTGCCATCATCCCAGCCTGACACCATGCTACCCCTCTCTGCTGGCTGGGGGTTGGGGAGGTCTGCGCTACAGGACTCTGGAGTCTGTTGAACTGCTGGGGGCTGGGGCTTCCTACGTAACTCATTTGACAGGTAGAGCCTTTTGAGTCCAACAGATTGTATCTCCAAGACTCCTGGGGAAACTGCTCCCTTTGGTTTCCACCTGCCCTCCCTTAGCACACCCACACTGACACGCGGGTAGGGAAGCTGGAGGCGGGGCTTGGCCCTGTGGCTGTGGTGGTTCCTGGCCCCGTGGTGTGGCTAGCAGCTGCTCGCTGCCCCCTTAGGTGCTGGAGTGTTCACCAGTACGGCTGGGTTGCAGAAGCTCATGGACATCATCCAGGTAGGAACCTCCAGGCATTTCTTTTCATGATGGAATTTAGGGGAAGAGCTTTGGGGACAGGACAAAGGCCCTAGCCCACATGCTTCTGATTAGCAAACCCATCATAGGTTTCTTTCCTCCTGCCTAGAACCCACTGTAGGCCTCTGGGAAGGTCACAGAGGATAGGTCTGGCCATGCTTGGCTGCTCAGTGGCCAGACACACACAGGGAGGTACTTCCAGCTTAGGCCAGGAGTCTCTTACCCTTGCTGAGGTGCTTGAGAACTGGCCAGAACCCCTGCATACAGGCCCAGCAGCTCCAGATGCTCAAGCCAGGCAGTATCTGGAGACAAGTGACTTACCGAGCAGCTTCTCAGCGGAAAGACAAATGAAGGGCTTGTGAATGCCTGTTCTTCGACCTGCTGGGGAAGAGGAAGACTGAAGTATGAGAGCACCTAACAAGTGTGCCAGGGGGAGACTGACAGAGAGACAGCGTGACTGCAGGTGCCCCTAACAGAGGGACAGTGTGGCGGTGGGAACACCTCACAGAGACAGTGTAACTGCAGGACACCTGACGGAGAGATGGTGTGACTGTGGGATCACGTGACAGATGGTGTGACTACAGGAACACCTGACAGACACGTGTGACTGAGGAAACACCTGACAGAGATGGTGTGACTGCAGGAGCATCTGACAGAGAGGCACATGTGACAGACTGTGTGACCGTGGGAGCACCTGACAGAGCAAACACCTGTCAGATGGCGTAACTGTGAGAACACCTGACAGAGGGATGGTGTGACTGCAGGAACACCTGCTAAAGAGGCACACCTGAAGGATGGTGTGACTCTGGGAGCACTTGATAGATGGTGTGACTGCGGTAGCATCTGACAGACTGTGACCATGGGAGCACCTGACAGGGAACACCTGACAGATGGTATCACTGCAGGAACACCTGACAGACAGTGTGACTATAGGAAGACCTCAGAGAGAGATGATATGACTCTGGAAACATCTGACAACACACAAAGAAAGGCCAGTGTGGGAGTTCCTGACAGAGACAGGTTGTCTGTATGAACTTTGACAGAAATGACTGTGTGAGGACGCTGATCGAGTGAGAGAAATATGACTATAGGAGTCCCTGACAGAGAAAAGGGTAACTGTGGAACTCCTAATTAACAGAAGCATACATGTGGAAGCCTCTGATTGAGAGAAAGGTGACTGTGAGGTCATTGGCAGGAGAGACAGCAAGACAGATAGATGGGGCTCTGTCTGCTCCCATAGGTCTCTTCCTGCTTCATGATGTATGGCTCCGCAGTACCTTCTCGTCTGTAAAGTCCAGCTATCTTCCTTTGCCCGAGCTGAGCCACTTCCTCAGCTCCAGTGGATAAAACAGTACCTGCCCAGGTTGGGGGTGGGTAAGGTGGACCATCTTTCTTTTGTTGAACCTTGTTAGGTTTTCAGAAGAAGGCTATTAGGAGCTCTGACTGTGAGACCTCTGGAGTCCTGGGAGAAACTGAGGCACAGGAACACTATATGTGTGGTATCGTCTAAGATTTCCTATTGGGTGCTTCTGCCCAGGCTGAACTGGGTGCCGCCTCCTCTTCCTTGAAATGTGGCTCTCCACCCTTCCCGTGAATGGAGCACAGTCCCTAGAACCCAACGCAGGTCACCCTGTTGGTTTGACGCTGCCTTTGGCTACCATTGCTCCCAGCAGATGACGTGGCTCCCCTGTGTGGGCCTGGAGCTGCTCGTCGGCACTCACGCCTCAGCTGGGGGCAGCGCCTGACGAGGCGCTCATCTCACATCTGCTTCCTGAGCACCTCACAGAGGCCAGGACACAAGTGTGCAGCTGGGGCAGAGTGTGACTGGCCAAAATGTGTCAGAGCACACTTTGGCCAGTGTGCTCTGGGGCTGTAGCTGACCTGTCCTTGGAGTTTAGGCACCAGCCCAACCTTTTAGGGCTACGGAAGTCCAGCCCAAGGCAGGATGACGTGCAGATAGTAGGGCCAAGTCTCCTGGGCTGGAGCCCTTGCTAACCGTCAGCTCTGCAGTAGGCATTCAGCACATGCTCACGCACACCATGAGAAGTTCTCCCTTCGTGCCTTGTCCTGCCCCAGTGGCAGTGCTGCTTTCTTAGTCACCTGGGGTTATCACTGCTCTTCCTTTCTCCAAATCACGCAAACCTGTTCAGATGTTTCTGGGCCAAGTTCTGTCAGCCAGAGCTGAAGCCAAATTCATACCACACCTCTTACCTTCTCACTGTCTGAGGCTTAAAATGAGTTGGCTGTGGAGTTCAAGGCCAGCCTGCACCACATAATGAGACCCTGCCTCCAAAAAGAGTTGGCTGTTGCAGATGCCTTGAGAAGCTCATGGTTCTGTGAGCCCCGAGCAGGGTCAGAGAGCCCTGCTCCTTACCAAGAGGCTGCTTGGGCCCACGGGGAGTGAGAGTGTCCCTAGACTGGCCGTGGGGGGCGCAATGGGCCACTCCTTCAACTCCAGTCCTGTTGCAGTTTGCCTGTGACCTGTGTGTGGTCACACTTGCCGAAGCCCCACAGGAGCAGGTGCATATGCTGAGGCCCTGTTCAGCAGCCCACCAGCTCGCCAGCCCCACTTCCCAGACAGTTCTCTGTGGGGGCTGCACACACAGGCCCAAGCAGCGCGCCATGTGTGCGCACTGCACGGTGGCCTGTCCTCACTTTGGGCTCCTATGTGTGCTGAGAACATGCCTTCAGGCCCAGGGTCTGATTTGTTGTCCCGGGTCTCCACAGTGTATCTGCACAGTGAGTGTTCTCTTGGTTGCCTCCTTAGTTCCCTCGGGATGGTGCCCGTTTCTCCCTGCGGCAGAGGTGCCTTCTGGGGCCGCCGGGAGTTGTGTGGAAGATATGTGCCTGTGCCTCTACTCGGGAGCAGGCATCCTGCCTTGATCTGGCCGCTTCGCTGAGCAGACTCCTGTTGTGGCTTCTTTCCTTCCTGTAGTGAGCATCTTGTACATTTTGGCCAGTTACCCTTTTCTGTGTCCCTTTCCTCAGTGTTTTTTGTTTGGTTGGTTGGTTGGTTGGTTGGTTGGTTGGTTGGTTGGTTGGTTTTTTTGTGGTACCAGGGACTGAACTCAGGGCCTTGCACTTTGCTAAGCAAGTGCGTATTCTACTGAGTTATCTCCCTGGCCCTTGTTTTGTTTTGTTTTGCTTACCAGTCTGCAGGGCTCTTCATAAATCTTGAGTATTGAGCAACAGGTGACACCTATGCACTCCACTTACCTTTTTCCATCTTTGGGAGGGCTCAGAGACTTGGGGACCCCTGTCATAAGGACTTCTGTCCCCAGGCTCCAGTCTCCTGACCCATCTGGTCGGCTGGTCTCATCTGGTTTCCAATAGCTTAGCTTTTGGGCCTCGAATCTATTTGCTGATCTCTGAGGCATGTGCGAGGCACATGTCCACCTTTTGCTGCCATAGGTCAGGTGTTTGCTGTCCCCTAGGCTCTACCTGGCTCCTGCCACTGGTGTCACTTCATTCTCATTCTTACGTGTTCTTTATCCTTATTTGCTACAGTTCCAGTAGGCTCTGATACTGGCCAGAACAAGTTCCTGTGTGATCTGTAGCAGGATATATTACATGGGGGTTCTAAGGGGCACAAAGGGAGGATTGCTACATTGGCTGGAGGGAAATTCTCAAAGGGTGCTGCCTTCCTGGTGGGTAGAGATTGCCCCTGGAAAGGGAGAAGACAGGCAGGTGTGAGCCGCTGCCATTTGGCCTGAGGATACATCAGGTTAGATGACAGAGCCAGATGAGCCCGAGTGTGTGGATGAGTGAAGCGTGACTCAGAAGCACAGGGTGGCCTCAGGGTCCTGTGTGCTGGGCCAAGAGGCTTCACTTTCCCTATCACACCACCAAAGGCTTTGTCCTCTTGCTTTAAGTCCTGACCTGTGAGCTCTGCTTTCTTACCTTTCAGATCGTGTTCAGTTTGGATCCCGCTGAGGGCAGCCCAGGACTCTCACAGTCCTACAAGGTGGGCGCTGTCTCCAGGACAGGGGCAGGGCTGGGCTGTCTCTAGGAGCCACTTGGGGCCTTAGCACACCATGCATGCTCGCCCTCCAGGTGCATATACACCCTGACACTGGACCCTGGAGGGCAGCTCAGCACTCCGATGCCTGGAGCTCCACTGCGTCTAGAAAGCAAGGTACAGAGTCTGGGGGCCAGGACCTACTGCCTTGCTTGGCTACAGTACATACCCAGGACTACCATTCCTCAGGCCAGGCATGCCTGTGGCCTCTTCTCAAAGTCGGAGAGACCTTGAAGGAGGCCTGAGCATACTGTTGTAGCCCAGTGATCTGTGAGCAGCGGCAGCACCAGCAGAGGGCCTTCTGTCCTCCCTTGACATCCTCGTTAGCCAAGACGGTCAGCACAAGCCTGCTCTCATCCCTTGTCCAGCCAGCACTGTTAAAGGCCCTGAAGGCCCTGGTCCCCACAGCCAGGAGACCACCTCGTAGGCGCCAGGGTCATGTCCACAAGGCAGGAGGCTGACCCTATTGCCTGTGGTGAGCTCAAGCCTCTCATGCCCCCGGCCTTCCCTTGCTTTTGGTATCTCAGAGCAGGCTTGGTGGGGGGCTAGATAGATAGGGCCTGGGCATAGCTCATCCTGCTCTCCTCACACGTGTTTGCCCTAGTGGTCAGCAGTGACTAGCTGTGGGACCAGGGCTCCTAGGGGCTGTTGGGTCAGATCCCTTGCAGCCCACTAGTCTGGCACTGCCGTTGCCTATGGGCTTCTGTGTATGCCCTTTTTGTGGGCTGCTTTTTGGCTGCTGGCTGACTCAGGTCATAGGCTCAACAGAAGTAGCTCTCTTGGAGTGTGTGCCTAGTCTAGTGGGAAGAGAAGGATAAGCTGGGCAAGATCAGCATGAGGTGTGGTGTGGCCAGGTTCTCTGAGCCCTCAGGACCTTGTAGCATGGACTCTTCCCCACAAGAACTGTCTGTGCCAAGGCTGGGGACAGCACTTGTGAGGCCCTGTGAACCCTGGGGCCTGATCAGGTACCAAGAGGCCAAGTAGGGTGAGGCTCTTCCTTCCCTCTGAAATCATATGACTTCTCAGAAGTAACCTCTGAGTAGGGTGTTTCTAGGAAATTAGGTCATTGAGGTGGACTGTTCCTTGCAAGGCAGCCCCAGACGGTCCCCAGGCAGGACAGATTCCATCCCAGGATTGAGAAACTTCTCAGGCCTGAAAACATGGTTTTGCCTTTTTCAGGAAATTTGCCCTTGTCCCTGCTGGCGCCTGGTCCTGCCTTCAATCTCATTTAGTCTTTCTATGGTCTTTGTTAATTGTCAGAGCTTCCTGGTCTGCTGGAGCAAGTTGGAGGCCGTGGACATGCTCCAGTCAGCCAGGCACTGCAAGGAACTCTGTGGGCTTCCTCTAAACCGGTGACCTTACTTGATGCTGACATGGCCAGTCTGGGAACTTGCTCTCTCTTGCAATTGTGCTTAGAATGTCAGGAGGTCAAGTAGTTTCCTTCCGTGTGCTTTTGGCAGAGTGGCTCTGAGCTCCATGCCTCATGCCACAATTTCCACAGAAACTTCAGGATAGGATTGGCTAGCCTCTCTTTAGGGGCCACCTAGCACCTAGAATTCTCCTAGGTCTGGTTCCTGCTCCCCAGACTTGTAATGAAAGAGCTGGCCTGCAGCCTGAATGCAGTCTCAGTGGAGAACTTCTGTTCGGGCTGCTCACTCTGGGCCCCTGTGGCTGCTGGTGGGTAGGGAAGATGGCAGTGTCATCCGAGTCTTGTCCTCACACCCCCTCCACCTGCAGGGAAGGTGCTGAGCTACTGGTGCTTCAGCCCGGGCCACAGCATGCGGGAGCTGCTCTGCCAGGGTGTGCGTACCCTCATCCTCACCAGTGGCACCTTGGCCCCCCTGTCCTCCTTTGCCCTGGAGATGCAGATGTACGGGCTGAGTATGGGTCTACGCTCGGTGTGGGGATTACTGGCCTGGGGTTACAGGCCAGAGTTCTGGGGTCCTGAACCTGAGAGGCCATCCATTGTCTGTTCAGCCCCTTCCCAGTTTGCTTGGAGAACCCACACGTCATCGACCAGCACCAGCTCTGGGTGGGGGTTATCCCCAGAGGCCCTGATGGAACTGAGCTGAGCTCTGCATTCGATAAGCGGTAAGGGCTGAGCTCAGGCCTCCCTGGCAAGAATGTAGAACCTGGGGCTGGGCCCTGAGCCTCACAGAAGACCCTCCTCTGGCTTTCTGCAGGTTTTCTGAAGAGTGTCTATCCTCCCTGGGGAAGACCCTGGGTATGTGTGCTTCACAGGGGAGGCCCTCATCCCCGGCTGTCCCACTGGGGCCAGCAGACACACAGTTCTTTCCAAGAACTGTGTGTCTGCAGCCAGCCAGCACCATCCTGACCACAGTCGTATGCCTCCAGGCAACATTGCCCGCGTGGTACCTCATGGGCTGCTGGTCTTCTTCCCTTCCTACCCTGTCATGGAGAAAAGCCTGGAGTTCTGGCGGGTAGGACCCTTCTATGAGTTCCCACGTGGGTGGGCAGGGTCACAGGGTACACAGGAGTGGTGGCAGGCCTCCAGCTTGCACAGGTCTGACAGGTGGTGCGACAGCCCTGTCCACACCGGACCTCTTTCCATAGGCCCGAGACTTGGCCAGGAAGATGGAGTCACTGAAGCCTCTGTTTGTGGAGCCCAGAAGCAAAGTCAGCTTCTCAGAGGTCTGTGCTCAATCTGGACTCTGGGGCTGCTGCTCTCACTGCCCTGCGAGCCTCCTGGGATGGCCCCATCCCTGACCCGGCTCTGGCTGGCTGCAGGGTGCCCCTTTGGGGTTTGTGCGTCTTCCTTGTCCTTGGTGTTTCACTGTTTAGAAAGCTGCTAAAACCATTTGGAGGGTCCGGGAAGATGGCTCAGTAGAATAAGTGCTTCCCTGGCAAGCTCAAGGGCCTGAGTTCAATCCCCGGTTCCACAAAAAGAAAAAGAAAAAGAAAAAAATTTGGACATGGCGACAGTGGCAGCTGACCCTCATGCCCTCAGCTGCCCTGACCAGGAGGTTCCCTGTGTTCACTGGGAAACAGTGAACAGTCTGGGTGCTATGCATGGGTCAGTTTGGGTTGTGATGAGATGTGGGAACACCATGACTTGAGGAAAGGATTGTGGCTCAGAGCTTGGGGTGCTACCCTCTCCTAGGTCATCGAAGGGTATTATCAACGGGTCAACTCCCCTGGGTCCAGTGGGGCCACCTTCTTAGCAGTGTGCCGTGGCAAGGTGAGACCTTCGCGAGTCATCTTCCCCCTGCCTGCTTCTCCTACCTAAGAGCTTGGGCCTGTCCGTGGACTCGGCCCTGAGGCACAGGCTGGCCCCCTGCCCTGTGCCACTGCAATCAGCAAATGGGAGGGAGTGGTGCTATGGGCCTGCTGGGCACTGCCGCGGGATGAGGAGAGGCAAGACACAGGAGAAGCTGAGCCGGGGAGGGTTGGTCCTCGTGGGAGCCACAGGCACCAGCTGGAGTCAAGAGAGGCGTTTCCTTCAACCCCCACCCATGGTAGGGAGGCATGGCCAGAGGATTGGGGTGCAGACCTTGAGGGAAGTGTCAGCTTAGGTGGAGGCAAGTGGGGAAGAGGAGGGCCCATTGCCCCAAACAGCCTCTGGGTCTCCTAGGCCAGTGAGGGGCTGGACTTCTCAGACACAAATGGCCGTGGTGTGATTATCACGGGTCTCCCATACCCACCACGTATGGACCCCCGGGTTGTCCTCAAGATGCAGTTCCTGGATGAGATGAGGGGCCAGAGCCAAGCCCGAGGTCAGGTAAGACACCACAGACCCAGGGGCAGGGGAAGAGCAAGGGTGCAGTGACCAGGGTGCCTGTAGTAGAGACCCTTTCCCTGTAGTTCCTCTCAGGGCAAGAATGGTACCGGCAACAGGCATCCAGGGCTGTGAACCAGGCCATTGGGCGAGTCATCAGGCACTGCCATGACTATGGGGCCATCTTCCTGTGTGACCACAGGTACAAATGGGCTCCACCTAGCCACCCCAGATACTCCACTGCTCAAGGCCCTTTCTGTGCCCTAGACCCCCTTCCCTTGTGTGAAACCCATGGCAGCCTCTGACTCTGGGGTCTGAGTTTCGTGGCTTCACTTGGAGACCTGTGTGCAGTGGAGTGGGCTGCAGGTCCTTGAGCAGAGGACACTGAGCTGATGGCTGCATACCCCTGCAGGTTCGCCAATGCAGATGCCAAAGCCCAGCTGCCCTCGTGGGTGCGCCCCTACCTCAAGGTGTATGACAACTTCGGCCATGTTATCCGTGATGTAGCCCAGTTCTTCCGAATTGCTCAGAAAACTGTGAGCATCAAAATGCCCACCTGGCTGGGCCTCCCACTCTGGCCAAGGTGGGGATGGTCCCTCCCGCTCCCAAGAGACACAGAAGAAGGCCTCGTACCCCTTTGCTCTGCAGATGCCTGCTCCCGTCCCCAAGGCTCTGGCCCCAGGCATGAGTGAGAGAGAAGCTGCTTCCCAGATGGCCGCATCCCCTGGATCCCTCCTGTCCACCAGAAAAGCCACAAGTCTAGATGTACATGTGCCCAGCCTGAGGCGGGAGCCAGGTGTGTGGGGCTGGGTGGGGGCCGTGCAGGGCAGAGGCAGGAGCCTGCCTGCCAGGACTAGTTGCTTCCAGGTGTTTCTGCCATACCAATGCTCCTGTAGGACGGCTGGCTGCGGAGGACCCCGAGCACAACTTGTGTGTGGAGTATGAGCAGGCGGTGGGCCCTGCACGGCCAAGGCCTGTGGGGCTGCTGGCTGCCCTGGAGCACAGCGAGCAGAAGACCGGTGTACCCGAGGATGAGGCCCACTCTGGGAAGAAGGTGGTATAGGGCAGCAAGGGTGATGCTTGAGGGGGCACTGGCCCTTGGCTCCTGAAGCCAGCCAGGCCCTACCTACTTGGCCTTGGCACCTTTTGCTCCTAAGTCCCCTTCCCAGTGGGCAGGTGGACACTCCCAGTCATGCTGTACCCACAGCTCCAGGTCACTGGCTCCTAGCAGAGGTGCATCCAAAGCTAGCCTTTCTCAAGGCGTGGTTCATAGGATGGGACCCGAGTTCCTCTTCCCTTCATCCTGTGGCCTTTACCTAGTAGCCCACAGTTTCCTGAGCCTCACTTGGAGCCCCTTCCTGCTTCCTCCTGCAAGCCATTCCTTCCTCTCCACTCCTGCTCTGCAGAGCCCCAAAGTGAGCCTGCGCTCATGTCCCAGAGTTAGCCAAAACCATCCTGTGGCTGTTGGCACACCCTGCTACCTGCCAGCCATGGGGGTGATCATGTAACTCAGAAGCGGGTGGGAGATTCGGGCAAGACATCCTGGCACTGGGCTTCTCTTTAGGCTGTCAGGGTTTCTGGGAGCCCTTGGGGTTTGGGTTGGAACCTCAGCTGTGTCCCTACAGGCACTTGGTTATTCTACTCTGTCCCTTCAGTGTGAGAAGAGACTGGCTGACGAGCAGAGAGGAGGAAGGAAGAAGGTCAGGCTGGTCACCCGCCGGGTAGGTGAGCCCTCCTACAGTCAGCCTGGCTACTCGCATAGTCTGTGAACCTAGCTTCTGCACGGGTGGCCCCCAGCCAAGCAGGACTGTGAGCCAGAGCAGCCCAGAGAAAGGGACTTCCTGCATAGCTGTGATGTGGACAGCCCGGTGGTTTGTGGATCCTTCTGTGGGTGGCCTAAGAGCCCATTGTCCTTTTCCAGCCACAGTGTGACCCAGGCCCTGCCCTCATTCATTTTGGGGGACAGCAGCCACCCATGATCCCCCAGCTGTGTGGTCTACTGTCTGCTTGACCCCAACCTTGCCAGAACTGTAGCTCTGGCCTGTGTGAGGCCATATAGTCTGTCCCCAGTCTCAGATGAAAGCAACTGATTTACAGGCTGAGGCAGGAAGCCTCTTTGCCCATTGGAAAGCCCCAAGTTCTGGAAAGAACCCAGTAGTACCCAGTGAGGGCCAGTGCCTGCAGAAGTGGACCGGCTGCTGAGGGGCTGGACTGGGCCAGGCCATCCAGGATGGAGTAGGCGCTGCCTGCACCAACCTTGCTTTGCTTCCCTCACATCTGTGGGGTGCAGCCTGCTGAGCATGCCTCTTGTGAGCTACTGATTCTCAGCTCTGTTCTAGCTGTACCTGCTGTGGGGAGGAGCAGGGTGGCGCTGTGGACTCTGGGCCTCCTGACTGTGTGACTCTAGCCAGGCTGAGGCCCCCCCAGCCATGTCCCAGGACTGCAGCTCTTCTCCAGGGCCCCTCCACCCTCTGTTTCTCACCAGGCAGGAGTACCTACTGTCCTGAGTGTCTTGGGGCTTGCACTGTCCTGACAGCAGCTTTGGCCCTGTGTCTTATCAGGAGGAGACAGTAGCTGGTACACAAGAAGAACGAGCGAAGCTGTTCATGGTGGCTGTGAAGCAGACACTGAGCCAAGCCAGTTTTGATACTTTTACCCAGGCCCTAAAGGTCTACAAGAGTTCCGATGACTTCAAGGCACTGGTGGCCTGCCTGAGCTGCCTCTTTGGTGACGACCCCAAGAAGCACACTCTGTTCCAAGGTGCCCTGGCCTGTATAAGCCTCTGCCATGCACAGGCCACAGCTGTGGGGAGGGTGGGGGCTGCCAGGATGAGCAGAAGGCTACTAAGGCCCAAGATGGTTCCTGCTTTCTGGAAAGGGCCAAGAGGACAGCCTATGGTCCCCAGCCTGGTGTCTGAAGGACAGGGAGCCCACAGGTCCAAATTTACACCCCCACCCCCGCCAACAGGCTTCTACCAGTTTGTGCGGCCACACCACAAACAGCAGTTTGAGGACATCTGCATTCAGCTCACTGGTCAAGGCTGCAGCAGCCAGGCAGAGCCTGGCCTTCCTCACAGGCAGCAGGCAGTGCCAGCCCTGGACCCCAGTGGTGAGTGGCCAGACCTAGGAGTGGGGGCACCCACAGCGTTGGGGTGCTTGGGCTTAGCCTAGCCTCCCTAGTCCGCCTGGGGAAAAAGCCCCGCCCCCCCCCCCCCCCCATAAGCTGAATCCAGGCTTCCACGAGAGACCTAGATTTTTGGAGCCAGGTACATGTGTCATGGTCCTACACTACCTGTCTGCTTTCCTTCCTGCCTCTGTCTAGGCAGAGCTGAGAGTCCATCTAGAGAGACAGTACCTGTCCCCATGCTTGCTGAAGATCAGCCCACTCTAGGGTTCCTAGAGGCTTACCCAGAGAGAGGCCTCAGCCGTCAAGAAGACCCCACCCCCCTGAGCTTCGTGCCCACTCTGGTGATCAGTGCCCCCCCCCCCCCCCCGGCTGTTCCCCACTGCCCCAGCCTCAAGCTGTGGGACAAAGCCCTGTCCCTCCCAGTGGGAGTAGCAGCATCCCCAAGTGCTCAAGGCTTTTATGTGCCAGGTCAAGGCAGGCTGCAGGTCCTGACTGCCCTCAGAGCCTGCCCTCTATCCTGGGACTTCCAGGCCCTCAGGAGCATGTTTCTTCAGGAAAGAGGGATTCTGAGCCCAAGCTGACCCAGTCCAAGGAGGTGGCCAGGCAGCTCGATCCTGCAGTGCACCTGAACCAGGGTGGGCCTCACCTGTCCACCAGGCCACCTCCCACAGGTATCTGGCTCGTGCAGATGCCAGGTTGGGTCTGCAGTTCTAAGGGGATATATGTCATGGTCTGGTTTAAGAACAGCTTTGAACAAACAAATCATGGAGCAAAAGGGCACTGACTGTATCTGAAGGTTCTACAGAATTGCTACTCTCAATTCTGTAGCATGCTGTTGTCCCAACCAACAGTAGTTCCTGGGAGGAAGGGCAGGGTAGGCAGAAATGGAATTCTTTTTTTTTTTATAAAGTTTATTTATTTATTTATTTATTTATTTATTTATTTGTGTGTGTGTGGCCAGCTCAGCCCACCAGGGGGCGGGGCTGGCTGGCATGTGGTGCTGGGGGATTGAACCGTGGTCCCTGTGCTTTGTTGAGCTTGTTCTAAGTAGGTGCTTTAGACCACTGAGCCATCTCACCAGCCCCAAAATGGAATAAGGACTTTTTTTTTTTTTTGCTCCTTGAATGCCTTCGGCGCACTTTTGCATGGCTGGAGTGTTGTGGGGATCGAACTACAGCAAACTTAGTCTGCCAGCATTGTGGAAGCAGCCACTTAAAGAACGGAGCTAGGGCTGGGCCCCCGAAATGGAATTCTTGATTCCCACCCCCCCACTGTCCCCAAGCCCTGTTATGTGCACTCCCCTAGGATGCACCCCCAGCCATCCAGAAGTGCGATCCAGAGTAGACAAGCACGGCCAGTCTGCCGTGAGTGCCTACCTGGCAGACGTCCGCAAGGCCCTGGGGTCTGCAGGCTACAGCCAGCTCTTGGCAGCACTGAAGGCATACAAACAGGATGACAACCTCAACCAGGTGTTAGCTGTGTTGGCTGCACTGACCACTGCAAGGCCCGAGGACCTACCCTTGTTGCAAAGCAAGTAGCTCCTGCTGGGGGGAGGAGGGATGGGTGCTGTGGAGAAAGGGAGTGCACAGAGCTAGGCAATATTTAGGAAAGGACTCGGCCTGAACCAAGATCTCTGCAGGATTCAGCATGTTCATACGTCCCCACCACAAGCAGTGCTTCCTGAAGACCTGTGCAGACCTGATAGGCCTGCCTGCCTCAGACAAAGAACCCCTGGGCCCCCAGGAGAGCCCCACCAGGCCTCTGGAGCTCGCCAGTGCAGCTCAACCAGGTGGGAGGTCTGCCTGCTCCCCGGCCCTGCGGGATCGGCCTCCAGGGCATCAGGAAGAAGCTGCCAGCCAACCTCTGGCCCTCCCATCTGCAGGCCCCTCACAGTCACAGAGGACCAGAAAGACGCAGAGCACGATCTTCTCCTTCCTCAAACAGATTCCAGAAGAGCATGAGGAGCCTAGCTTGCCCCCTGGGCTTCCTGTCCATGGTATACCATAGAAGGGGCTGCAGGGACTGCTAGGCCTGGGAGTGCCCTGGAGCAGGCCCCACAAACTCAGGCAGGCCTCTTGCAGCAGGCTTCTTGTGCCCAGGCTGCAGGGCAGAGAACACAGTGACCTTCCAGTGCCCCTCCTGTGACTTGCACCGCTGCCAGGCCTGCTGGCAACAGTACCTCCAGGTTGGTGCCTGGCTTTTGGGTCCTAACCAGCCATCACCCTGAGTGTTGAGCCAGGGGGACTAGGGGCATGTGAGCCAGGGGGACTAGGGGCATGTTTTTAGCAGCTGCAGTGCCTAGCAAACATGCCCGGTGGCCTGTCTCCACAGCAGTCTAGGACCTGTCCAGCCTGCTTTGCTGCCATCAGGAAGCAGAGCCTCACACAGGTCTTCTGGCCGCAGCTCCAGTGAGCATCCCCTGAGACTCCAGGCCCTGAGCATGGCTCCACACCGGCCTGTCCAGCCCTGTTGTGAGCCATGAGCCTCCTTCCACATCCCAGCTGGGAGGCTAGTCTGGTTCTGACAGGCCCATTGCTGGCTTCAGAAGGTGGGAGCCATGATGGAACTTAAGGCTGCCCCAGAGAAACCCCGAAGCCTGGGTGGGTCACCTAGATGTCTTTCCAGAGATTGCCCTCTTGCTGGATTGTGAAAGCTGTTTGATCTGTGTGCCTGCTCCCTTAAAGGCAGGATATAATAAAAACTGGCAGTAGCACCCTGTGGTCATCACTTTGAGCAAGCCCTATGAGCACGAGTCTGTGGGCAAAACCGCCCCCCCCCCCATCGCCTTCAACCACTGGCGCCAGCCACACCCCTGGCTCAGCCCAGGGTGGTTCTGGGAGGGGTGCCCAAGACTAGGGGCAGTTGGAAGGGGGTTCCCGCAGGGTGTGACGAGGTTGACCCGCCCTACATGTCCCATATACTTGCTGCCTAGCAGCCTAGCTAGAGTGTGGGGCAGAGATCCCAACCTGTACTGTACGGCTAGGAAGGGCTGCCTCAGGCCAGATACACGCTGTGCTCTGTGCCCCAGAGGACCATGAGAAAGCTAAAGGCTTGGGGTCAGTCATCCTTGGGTCCGCTATGGGCTTTGCCAACCCTGCTGCTAGCAATGGCCGTGAGCGGGGCGGCGGATGTACCCACATACCTGTGGCAGGACACAGCGACGCGAGAGTGGCTGACCTGCGCCCGGTGTCCCCCGGGCACCTTCGTGCAGCAGCCATGCCGACGGGACCAACCCACGACATGTGGGGCCTGCCCGCCGCGCCACTACACGCAATTCTGGAACTATTTGGAGCGCTGCCGTTACTGCAATATCATCTGCGGGGAGCACGAGGAAGAGGCAAGGCAGTGCAGCGCCACTCACAACCGCGCCTGCCGCTGCCGCCAAGGATTCTTTGCACACGCCGGCTTCTGCCTGAAGCACGCGCAGTGTCCACCCGGCGCTGGAGTGACCGCCCCCGGTGGGTGGTGGGTGTGGAAGGGGTGTGCGAGCGGGGGTTGGGGGATGGAGAAAGGCAAACCAGCTGAACCTACCCTCTTCTTCCTGCCAGGGACCCCTAGCCAGAATACCCAGTGCCAGCCATGTCCCACAGGTACTTTCTCAGCCACCAGCTCAAGCTCAGAGCAGTGCCGCCCCCACCGCAACTGCACGGCCCTGGGGCTGGCCCTCAACGTGCCAGGCTCCTCCTCCCGGGACGCCCTTTGCACCAGCTGCACCGGCTTCCCGCTTGGCCCTGGCGAGCCAGGTGAGCAGGAGTGGGTGCAGCTGCGTGGGGTTGGCAGCTTTGTGGAATGGGGAACTTCCTCCCAAGGTGGATGAGGCTGAAGATCCAGGTTGGTCTGAGCCTCACCTGAGGCACCGTGGGCACACCTGGCCATCCTGAAGGCAACACTGGCAAACACTCCCAGAATTAGAAGTTGGAGAGCCTCCCGGGGAAGGGGCCGATCCTTGGTCACGCCACAACCCGTCCAGCCCCCCACATGCTGGCCCAAAAGCACGTAGGCCGGGAGCGCAACGGATGACTTTGCTCTCCAGCTTTGACCAGTATTTCCCAGCACAGCTGAGGTGTTTTCATGACTTGTTCAGTGTATTCTTTTGTTCTGCAGTGACGCATGCCCCCCCCCCCCTTCTGCAGGGACCGAGGAGTGCGAGCGCGCCGTCATAGATTTCGTGGCTTTCCAGGACATCTCCTTCAAAAGGCTGCAGCGGTTGCAGCAGGCCCTAGGGGAACCAGAGGATCAGAGTCTGCCGCCATCCAGGGAGGGCCGCACAGCCTTACAGATGAAGCTGCGGTGTCGGCTCTCTGAGCTCCGAGAGACGCGGAACGTGCCGCTGCTCACGCAGCTGCTGGCGGCGCTACGTGCCGCAGGGTTGCCAGGGCTGCAGCGGAGCGTTCTTGCGCGCTTCCTCCCTGCCAACTGAGCCTCCCTCGTCCCTGCCCGGGCTTTATTCCACATGGCACACTTTTCAGCCAGCCCTGCACCAGAGACTTCTCAAAGTTTATTTTATAAAAAGTAACACTTCTTAAACCTGTTGCCCTCAAGTTGCGCCTCTGCCCCTGGAGTACAGGGACACCTGGGCAGAAGGGCCATACCTTAACCAGGTACTTCCGGACACATATCCCACCCCTCTGCACCATAGACACTGAAAATGACCACTGTCCACTTCGCTGGGGAATGTCATCCTGACAGGAACAGCAATGACATGGGCCTGTGCCCACTCACCCTGGCTGCAGGATATGCCCTTACTCTTGCTTACGGCTGGACAGTGTTGATGGGCAGCAGGTGGTGGGACTGTTTTAGACGTCCTGATTCTCCCAGAAGGGGTCCAGCCAAGGCTGGCTCCAAGTCTGAGACTCTAAGTCCCATCTGTCCAGGCTGACCTGGGGAACTGTCCTCTAGGGGAGCAGGTCCTTTCTGAGGTTGGAGGCTCAGACCTTCCTGCAGGCCCTGGAACCAACCTACATGGCACCACCAGGGCTCCACCAAGGGGAAAGGGGCCTCCCTGAGTTACAGCACCTGCACAGGGACACAGTTGTTTGCTGCCGATTCGTACCCTTCCCAGCCACCCCTCAGGTTCCCCAGGAGAGGGGCAGTCTTCTGTGAGCTGACCTTGGACACCTCCGGGGACCTGGCTGGGCCAATTCCCACAACAGCTGGATGAGAGTGCCCAGGCAGTCAGGCCTGCCCACCACTTCCCTGGGATCCACGGCTGCACCTTTCTGTGGTGGTGACTATACCTAAACTGTAGGAAACTCCGCCTCTAGGCTATCTGGAGGGATGGATGGACAGGAGCCAGGCAGCTGTCATCATTTTGTGCCCCTGCTCTGTCCACAGCCAGGTTCCAAGTAGTGTTGCATGGGCAGGTGGAGAGCAGCTCTGCTGTTCTCGGCACATCTGGAACCCTCTCCGCACGGCCAGCCAAGGCCAGGTATGCAGGCTCAGCACACCACTGAGGTGGGCTCTGTGGGAACCCAACTCAAACCAGATGGGCCCAGGAACACTGCCCAACCTGCCAGAGTGGGGCAGGGGGCATAAAGACAGGCACCCAGCTAGGCCTTCCCATGGCTCCACATCACACCCCCCCTACATTAAAATGAGGTGAGAATGGGCCGATAGGGAGGTGTGGCTTCCAGGCATCCCAGTCCTGCCCTGAAGGTGCAGTGAAACCGAGGGACCTGCAGGCCTGTGGCCATGTGGGGGAGATCTTCCTCAAGGCAATACTAGCTCTGCACCTGCTCCAGGATAAGCCATGGTCACATCTACCTCTTCATGGGCAAGTGAGACAAAGCAACTGCCAGTCAAACCCTCACCTCTGACACAGCTCACTCAGACTCCCCTGAGGCGGCCTGTCCAGCCAAGGCCTTGTCCCCCCCCCCCTCCTCAGTGCTTGGGAGTGTCAGGCAGGACTGAAGACCTAGGGTGACCAATGTGGAGCCAGGCAGGCCCAGCTACCCAGGACCCCTGGCAGAAGCCTCTGGATACCTACACTTTTCCAGACACAGAAAAAAGTTTGTCTTAGAGAAAACATAAAGGGAATAAAAGAACCAAAGGCAAAGCAAACCCAACCCCCAGGATCAATGGCACAGGAGCCAGCAGGGAGTATGCTCCTCCAGCACTAGGGGATGAACCGTCCAAGACGGCAGAGCTGGCTGCGCCTACGTGATGTCTCTCTGCCGTGGTGGCCGGTGGACATTTCGCACGACGCACTTCACCATCCATTCAATGCCCTCACGTACTCCTTTGCTGCAGAGACAGTGGGTGTCAGGGAGGGCTGGCTCTGGCCCCAGGAGCCCTGAGGGTGGAGCCTGCACTCACCCTGTGAGGGCAGAGCAGGCCTGGGTCAGACAGTCTCGCCTGCCGATCTTACAGGTGCAGTCACTAAACGCAGTCTTGATGTCAGGGATTGAGAGACATGTCTGGTGGAGGAGGCAAGGCCCTGAGAAGCAGCCCATGGCCTGCCCAGGTTTAACCTGGGCCCCTGCACTTTCTGAAGGTGCCAGACCTTCACCCCTGAGGAGCAGTGGCAGTGAAACCCTCCAGCTTGTCAGAGTCCTCACACCACAGCCACAGTGGTCAGGAATACCGCAGTCACCCCATGTCTACCCAAGAGTGGCCATGAGGCCTCAGCAAGGGGCCACCAGGAGCCCAGAACCCCCTCCCTGAGGCCATGCCTTACAGTGAGCCTCCAGCAAGGAGCTGAGGAGAGGCTCTGAGGCCCAAGGGCAAAAGTGAGGGAGGGGAAGGAACAGCAGCCACAGTGGCTGAGGAAGATTCCTGCCTTACCAGACATCCCTCATTAGTGGTTGAGACTGAGGAGCATGTAAGGTGTACCAGGTTCACAGGGAAGTGGATGGGGTGGGGTAACAAGGCACAGAGCCTCCCCTGACCCCTCTGCCTACAGCCTCTGTGGTGTTGGGCCCCACCATAGCACCCCAGGGACTTTGTGGCCAGCAATCCTGGGGCAGTGTCACCTCAGAGGGGCCCTGGCTTGAGGGGTGGCTGGCATGGATGCTGGTCCTTAACCAGCCACACCCTCTACCACAGCCCTTCTATGCTCAAGAGCTTCTGCCTGGGTCTCCCCATACCCTGGGTGGAACTCAGCCGCCCTGTAGTGGATAGAAAATGCTCTGGTCTTCCCTGGAGAGGAGGCAGTCCTGTACATTGGGTGGACAATCTCCAGCAGAGGATGGCCTGTCCAAGCACTGTTGGCTCTAATGACACTTAAACTAGAAGAGAGCTCAGCAAGCCGAAGTGCTGAGGGTCTGGGGCAGATGGGGCCTCAAGGGCTTTGTACACTGAGGTGGACACTGGGCCCGCAGTGTCTAAGGATGCTCCTCCTAGCACTAGAGAAACTTCAAGGAAGCAAGGTAGGGCTCACCTCCACATCCTGCTTGTTGGCCAGCACCAGGACAGGAACACCATCAAGAGACTCACTCGAAACCACCTTCTCTGGGGAGGTGAGAGGGAGAACCTCACACCTTGTGTCCTGCCTTGACTGTAGGGAATGCCCAGGAACAGGGCTCCCACCGCCACCCCCCACTACAGGGGCCTACTCAGTGCATATGAGGACACTTCCAGCCAGGTGCTTGACTAGCTCCAGGCATGTGGGGTGTCCAGACTAGACCTGAGCATTTCCCCAGGGCTCTCCCTACAAAGTCTAGGGCTTCCTGGGCTCTTCTTCTGGGAGTGGTCAGGCCACACTCACCAAACGCCTGCTTGGACTCTGACAGTCTCTCTTCATCAGTGGAGTCAATGACATAGATGACGCCATGGCACTCTGCATAGTACTGGAAAAAAAACACAGTGGAAGCTAGGGCTGCAGCTGCCACCCTGCTAAGGGCAAAGTCAGCAGCCAGCCGAGGAGCCAAGGTCTGGGGACAGACACAGCTACCCTCTGAGGTCAGGGTAGAGTCAAGCATACAGTACCCAGGTCCCTTCACGAGGGGCTTGGTGAGATGAGCGGCCTTCCCCTGCCCAGATGCCGCTCCTAAGAATGCATGTGCAGCTTCAGCCTGACGGTAAGAGAGAGGTGCAGGTACAGCACGGCTTGGAGGAGCCTCGACGGCAGTGCAGCCTCATGAGGGTACACATGGGCGCTTGGGTGGGGCTCAGCACAAAGGGGAATCCAGAGATGTGGGTGTAGAGTGTGCCACCAATGAGCCTCCCAGAGTTGCCCATGAAGCCACCTGCCTGCCCTTACTAGGACAGTGCCAAATGCTGAACTCAGGCCTCTGCAGGCTGGACCAGCACCACAGGCAAGACACATGGGCAGGCAAGGAGCTACAGAACCATGTGGCAGCAGGGAGCAGGCCTGGGAGGTGCACTTTTACCCATCAGAAAAGAGCATTAAACCAGGCACATCCATGAGGAACAGACAACAGCACACACGTGCCATTTTACCTCAGAGTTAGGCCAGCTCCTCTTCCCCAGCACAGTAACTCGATACTGACCCAGGACAAGATGTGTTTTTGATAGAGCAAAATAAGTGAGTTTCACATGCACCTGAGTGCAGACAAAGAAGCCAAGAGTGGTGGTCCACACTTATTAATGCCAGCACTCTGGGAGGCTGAAGCAGGAGGACTGCAAGTTTAAGCTGAGCCTGGAAGCTTGTAAGACCATCTCAGAATTTTTATTATTTATTTATTTGCGGAACCAGGGATTGAACTCAGGCCCTTGTGCTGGCCGGGGAAGTGCTTATTCCACTGAGCCATCTCCCCGGCCCCCCAGAATTTTTATTTATTTATTTAATCTCAGAATTTTTAAAAAGGACTAGAATATAGCTTGGTGTGAAATCCCTGGGTTTGTTGCCCAGTACAAGGAGTAGTGGAAAGGAAGGCTGGGGAGACAGCAGCCAGCTGGCTCTGTAAGATCCTTTGGGGCCCCAACACTGTAAGAGAAATGCTACAGCACCTGCAGTTTCCAAAGTAGAGCTAGAGGGTATGGCCAGATGTCCTCCAGGGTTCTGCAGGAAGACTCACACATAAGAGCTGCTTTGGCTACTGTGAAGTGGGCTGCCCTCTTGCTACAGAGGCATAACCCTGGCAGGTCTTACTACGGAGGCTTCCATGGTGGGAAGGTGGGGCTTGCAGTAAGCCCCCAAATCAGCACATGGTACCTGTAGCCCCAAGCAAGGCAGGGTTGTCATGGGTGACATGAGGCCAGACCCATGGACTAAGCTGCCAGAGCTTCCCATTATTCCTTCCAGGCAAAAGTGGCTGCTGCAGCAGCCAGTGAGATGGAAATAGGATATCAACCCTCACCCCATGGAGGGGGCCATATGGAGACCCTGCATAAGCACAAGTGGAAAACACCCAAGCCTGGCTTATGGCTGGCCCAGATGAACACAGTGAGGTAGGCCAGAGGTATATGCAAGTTACACTAGTCTTCCTCATACCAGGTCTTGAGGACATGGACAGAAACTGTTATTCATATCTAGACATCCCCCAAACGCCTCAGGCCTCATAGGTGGGTCTTTTGGGGGATGCCTGGATCATAGGTCTGTAGTCCTGAAGCAGTCCACTGTTGTTTATAGCTGGGTGTGATGGAAGGAGACCAATAAAGGTGGGGAGAGGCGCTGTGGGTGTGACGTGGAATGGCACATGGCATCCTTCCTTCTCCCTCGATCTCATCAACTATGCACTGAAACCTTTACAAACTATGAGCTAAAATAAACCTCTGCTTCTTTAACTTAAAGGTGTCAAGTATTTTGGCCCAGCAATGAGAAAGTAATTCAGACAAATCCCAGGCATATCATCCTTGTGGATAGAAAGGCCAGGCAGTCCAGCTGGTCCTCCCTGTGTGAGAAGTATGGCCAGAGACTGTCATGTGTGCAGACCTGTGAACAGCAATATGACCACTGCACACCTGGGGCAGGTGAAGCAGTAGACATAGACAGTGACTCATCTCAAGGTCCCCTAAAGCATCCAAAGGGGATGAAGTGATGTGGCAAGCTCGACACAGTTATGCAGTGAACAGTGAAGATGCAGCAGTCATTGTGGCAGACTACAGGCCTAACAGGACAGGCCTCACACATGGTTGAGCAAGGCTAATGGAACCACCACCAGATGCTTAGCCTGATAGCTGGGCACCATCCCTTAAGGAAATCCGAAGGCCCATTGTGTGAGTCTGTCTCCCCAGGAGCAATGGGGTCCCTCAGACATGAGCTCATGGGTCACATGCCAAAACAAAGGACCTTGTAGACCAATCACAGCACAGGCTGCCCATCCAGATACTCTCACATAGGGTTTAGTCAACTGCAGTGTCCATGAGGAGGCAGCAACCCAGGAGCCTAGATCCCCGGATGTGACCAACTGTCCCAACTAAAGACCATTCTCAGACACTGGGCTTGAATAGGACATAGAGTCCAGGTATGAGGGTGAGAACCAAGTTCACTGGGCTGCCTAGCCCAACTATGGAGTCTATGAGTACTGTTAGGGGAATTACCCACCAAAGCAGCACCCTGAGCCAAAAGCCCGAGAGTCCTCTTGGTTTTCCTGTTTTTTTCTTTTCTCCTGACCAAAAAAACAGATGTCTTAATGGCCCTTGAAACAACCAGCTACACAATTTCCCCTACAGGCTTGAGCCCAAAATGGAGCCTTAAATACACCAGGTACTGATAAGATGTTTAGGTTGTTCCCCAAAACTCTCAAAAAAAGAGGAGATTCCTTAAGCTTTCATAGAAACCCCATTCCTGTCCCCTTTGTTGTGGACTATGTCTGCAGAACATCCTTTTCTTTGCTATCTTCCAGAGGATAGGCTGCAGTCCTCTCTGAGTTACTTCAGTAAGTTCCCTGTACTGACTCTGGTAAACAATTCTTTGGAATCTCTACCTCAAGAAAGCCAGGCTTCTCACTGTCACTTTTGTGGTGACTCCAGCTGAAAGTCTGACAGAGATAAACAAGAAGTAACTGGAAAAAATCCTCAGGAACAAGGTAGGTAACAAGCTCTCTCACTAAGGAAGAAACTAAAGGTTGCTATCTGGATAGAAATTGCACAGGGGCAGGTAGTACCACGCAAGGGAGAAGATGGTAGATGTCTTACCTTATCCCACAATGACTGCAGTTCTTCCTGTCCCCCTAAATCCCAGAACATAAGGCGAGCTTTTCCCACGTCCACAGTGCCAACTGGGGAGAGAACAGGTAAACTCATGACCTCAGTGCTTGACACACGAGTCCCAGCTCTCCCATGGACAGAGCAAATCACATTAATGTCACTGTCAAGGAGGCTGAGCACAGGGTCAGGACTCTGATCACTGGCTGACTAGGCTGTGGACATCACAGTGTCCTTACGGGTCCCCTTAAGTCCACAACCTTAAAGTGTCCCCTTACTGTTCAGACCCACGGTGGTAGTGATTTTAGATAGATTCATCCCCTTGTAGTTCCTGTTAAACCGGGTTTTTGACTGTTCCAGGAAGGTCTGAGGAGAGAGGAAGAGATAATTAGAGGCAATTTAAGCAGTTTTCCAGGTCAGTTCCCTAAACAGCCCTTCTTGGGTGTATTAAAAATGAAAGGATGAACCCATACAGCATGAGTGCTCTTCAAGAAGCTGGCAGAGGCCAGCACGGTGGCATACACCAGTAATCCCAGCACTCTGGGTATCTAAGGCAAGAGGACTGCAAATTGGCACTTGGCCTGGCTGTTTAAAAATAAAAATAATGGAGCTGGGGAGAAAGGCTCAGTAGAATAAGCACTTGCCTGGCAAGCGCAAGGGTCTGAGTTCAATCCCCGGTTCTACACACACACACACACACACACAAATTAGTAACAATAATAATGGGGATGTAGCTCAATGCAAAGGCTCTGAGTTCAATCTCCAGTCGCCACCCCACCACCAGCACCACACACAACACAGCTAGTGGAGAACATCCTATGCTCTCAAGAGGAATTCGGACTCCATCTGGGCAGTAAACTTGCGGCTGCCAGGATGAAACCAAAGCTAGCCCACCAAGCAAGGGAAGAGGTACCTACCGTCTTGCCAGCATTGTCCAGGCCCAGGATCAGGATGCAGTACTCATCTTTCTGGAACACGTACTTGTACAGCCCCGACAGCAGCGTGTACATCCTGCCCTGGCCCAAGAGAAGGCGTGGTGTGTACGACCCGCTCCCTCCTCCCACGGGCTTGCCTCAAGGCTCAGTCGGCCCGGGGGGGCTGCCTAGATCCGGAGCCCAGGGCGGCTGCAAACTCCTTGCTCCCCATTCTGTGGGCCCTGGCCCGGCCTCCAAGACCAGCCACCAGCGCTCCACGCCACTCTCACTGCAGGCCATCCCACGAACGGCAATGAATGAGCTCGCAAAGTACAGACTCCTGTTTGCCCCTCTCTCTCCCTCTCTGAAAACACTTCTCGCCTTCCCTGCTCCTGCGTCTGTCCAGGCTCGTCCCCCGGACCTGTCGCGTGTCACTAGGAACCTCGCTCGTAACAACTCCCGGCCGCGGCTCAGGGCTAGCGCGCTTCACGTACGTTCTTCAGGGAGACGCGACCCCGCCGCAGAGCGGCCC